GTATGTTCTCCTTGTTACTGTCTTTATCATCTACAGCCATTTCTACTGGGGCCATCCCAGCACTGCTTGTATCTTGTAAACTCTCTGATAAGCTCTCATCTTCACCATCATCTTCTGCATCCATGTCAAAAAGTCGGACTCTCCGATGATTAGAAAACAACTGCAAAAGACAAAGTATTGCAGAAATACCTCAATGGCTTATCTCAATGGATGGCTATATTTACAGCACTGAGCCTGATGCAAACAGCACCATATGCATACAGTATTTGACAGATGACTGTAAACAGTACTAAGCTGACTCATACTCACCACACATGACACTTTCCTGGATCCACTAACAGCAAATATACTAGCTTTGATGTTATCCAATCTTCGACTGTGGCTGACATATCCCCCAGCATCAAGGCTGATTCTGTGAACAATGACATTGCTTTGTATTGACACTGCAAAGCACACTGACAATACTTCTAATGCAATTTACCCCCAGAAAACGGGCAAATGCAAAGTCACCAACACAAATGGGTGCAGTAAGCTTCACTGTAGTATATATATAAAATTGCATGAAGTATCATTCATGCAGTATGTATTCCACTTCAATTGTTACTTAGAATGTTTATCATCTAATTAAACAAGTATATAAAGAAATAATATTCACATATTATACTGGCACTATGTTACTAAAATAAGAAATATAATTACCCATGTTTTAACTCACTGTGAGTTTCAATATACATTGACAGGGGTCCTCCAGATTTATGTGCTTGTATTTGTTTTGACCAAGTAATAACAAAGACAGCACTAATCCCAAAGAATACAATCTTTATTTTGGCTCCTATCTCAGATTAAACTTTTACTGAGGTGCACTATGAACATTCAATAATTCAAAAACATTAGGGAACATACACATCTGCTCTTTGATTCAGTGGCTCATCATGCTCACTCAGTAGGGTAAATTGCTGGTGAAGGAGTGCTGCAAGTGGAACTTGACATATGATTGATGCACTTTCAGGTCCACCCCATCGTTCTTGAAGAAGGACTGACAAGGTGTGGTTGTCAAAGAAAGCTGAATCCAGTATCTCGTATTGGTTACCTCTGATAAGAAAAGGCAATTGGTTTAACAAAGCGATTCACAAAACAGAGCACTAGCCAGAGGATACCATAGCGAGAAGCAGAATATCCCGTTTTTGAGTTGAGGGGATGTGTTTTTTCCCTGAAATGATTTGATGTTTCTCCCTCTGTAAAAAACCCTCTTCCTCAAAAGGAAGATGGTCGTAGCATTTCTAAAGTATTGGTGCTTTCAATTACAAAAAAGGCAACTTAAACTGAAGGGGGGAGACTGGGTAGTGCCCCCATTCTTCCTTGCACAATGACTTGCCCATTTTTACCTTTTTTAAGTTGTGGTTTAAGAGACTAAGAGTTTATTTTGTATTTTCTGCATTTACTGAAGAAGACATGAAAAAATGGATGGCTTCATGTAGGATAGTATATTGTATATGCAGAATGTCAAAAAGTTGTTCATTTCAGCTGTTTCCACTTGCAATGTTAAGGAGCACTCTTATTTGGAGTTGGCACTTCCTCTCCTTCTTCAAAAGTTTATGTCGAAAGTGACAATTCCATACCTGTCAAAACTGAAACTCAAAAAAGCAACACAAAGTGTGTATGCAATGCCAGTGCCTTGTCTCACTTACTGCTGCTATTTGCTACACCCAATATACATGTACTCTTGATCACTGAACACATGATAAACACATTCCAGATCTTTTGGTCTTGGAACCTGGCAGCAAAAACACATGGATGCCAATGGATTTTTTTTAGTGACTAGACAAGCAACTGGACAAGTGTGATGATGTGTATAAATATGTATGCAGTGAATATATAATGAATAACAGCTGTTGGGGGTTTGTATCCAGTCCGGAGTTAAGCACCTATGTGACAATGATTTCAGAGGCAGTCTCAAGGGTTAAATTCAATACAATTTGATAGTACTCAGTACGCTTCTTCAAAATAACCATGCTCTAGGGATCTGCATGTTTATGGAGCCCAAGCATACTTCCAAGACAGGATGTACAGTGCAAGATGTTTTTCCGATGGTTTGTTTTTCTTCCGAAAATCAGGACATTGTTATATTTATTGAACCTTTGAAAACCTCAAAAATGGGAAAGGTTCTGATTAAATTGCGACAGTTGGAAGGCATGCATTTCTGTAAATATTTCATACCACCTACAACAGATTCATACCACCTATACAACAGATTCATACAACCTACAACAGATTCATA